GGAGCTTGTTAACACAAATTTCCCTCTTCCCGGAAAAGGACTCAGTCTTAGAAAACCATCGGCTTTACCAAAATCCTAAAAAATTCCATAGTTATTCACCATATGCTTCCATGACATTACAGATACTTTGTTAACACAAGATAAACTATATGTCAATGCTACTAACATCGGATGTTCTTGCTTTGACAACATATGGAGATGCAGCTATTTTCCTTCTTATGTTTTACTCTTAGAATTAGAATTAGAATTAGATGATACCGGGTGGGTGGAGGAGGAATGTGCATGAGAGTTTAGTTAGACATAACAATATTGTAACTAGTGTGAGAACCAAGGTTTTTTTGAAATAAGAGATGATAAGAATTGGCGGGTTGAAGAACTGGAGGGAAAGCCGACATTTCAAACTAATTGGAGAATGTGATTTATGACTGTGAATTAGAGGAGGGAATTGTGTTTTGATACTATGTGCTCAAGGGAGGGGAATTCAGATTTTGGCTTTGCCTATGTACGTGCCGATGCTATGCTGCTCGAATAAAGATTCTTTAAAGTAAACAATGCCTCGAAGTTCTTTGAAGAATTTTATCTGTCGGAACCATGACACTATAAGCAGGGACTTTCCAGATTATACATAGTCCAGGACATACAACCATCACTGAGCCCCAAATTTCTGTTGCTAAGCAAGACAGTGGTTAAGGGAGTTTTGCCCCTTTTGCGACCTTTCCTGCCACCGTTGTTACATGAATCACTGCAGTTTTTAAGTCAGTAACACGGCTGTTATATGAATCTAGCTTCCCCATTGACTTTGCTTGTCAGAAGGTTGCAAAAGGGGAAATCACCTGATGCTGGGACACTGCACCAGTCATAAATATGAACCAGTTGCCAAGCATCCCGAATTTTGATCACATGTAACAGAGGTCCCAAACCTTTTGGGGACCAGGGACCAGGTTTTTCCGTGGACCGGAAGATGCATGATTTTGTGTGCTGCCTGTATCTCGTGGATGGGACTTTGCTTGTTTGTGCGGACCGGTTGCTGGCATGCCGCGGCCCAGTACTGGTCCACGGACTGGAGGTTGGGGAACCCTGACATATAACCATGGGGATGCTGTAATGGTCATACATGTGAAATATGGTTATAAGTCACATTTTCAGTGCTGTTTGAATGGTCCCTAAAGAAATGAGTGTCAAGGACTACTTTTACAACATATATAATCTGATTGGCAAATGAATCAGTTTTCTGGGTTCGGATAAAACATAAATTATATGTTTTTGTCTTTGCATGTTAACACACATACACATGCATTAATTATTCTTAGTATTTTCTGTGAATGCAGCTTTTGGATCTCTGGGCCTTTGCTGAGTAGAAATGCAGCCCCCCCTTCTCTCCAGTCCTATCCTTGAGTTTTCAGAAAACTAACCTGGTGTGAATCTGCTCTTCCCAGTGGGGATCCCACTCCTGTCTCTCTTTACCTCCATTTCAGCTCATTGCAGTCGCCTTCCAAAACCATGGAAAGCATAATAGATGTTATGCATCTTGATCACAAATATAGTTCTTTTAAGGAAACTTTGGACAGTGGCAGAAGAATAAGGGAAAATACTACTTGGACACAGTTTAACTGGGATAACCCCAAGTTGGCCGAAAATGCAGAAGTGTAGCCTTGGTTCTCACTGCTGACTTTTGGTATAATGTGGGAAGTCAGCCCCCCAGAGAAGGAAATATTAAAAGGGCAAAAAAATATGTTTCGTCCAAGGATCTTAAAGAGGCAGGAAAGCATGCCCAGTTTTCTTAATAGCCCCAGGTCTCCCTTCCCCAAGCAGAAACCAGCTCTATAGAGATGCAGATGTAAATCCAGGGAGCTAGGAGATTAAGAAGACAAAGACCTAAAATCTACATACCCCATCCAAACTCTAAGAGTCATCAGCCCCAGGGAAGCAGGATACCGTATGACCTTTGAACATAATAAGATTGACCCATCACCATCAGAATACCAGAAAGGCACACTCAGGTCAAAGTTCATGCCACAGGAACATCTCCAAACAAAAGGCTCCAGAGGGTATAAAAACCCACTCCCTATATGTGTTCAGCCCTTTTTTTCACTTCTCTTGCTGCCAGAACCATTTTTCTGTCTGGCTCTCCTCTCCAATAAACTACAACCTTCTTCCCAAAGCAGTTGCCATATTTATTTCCAGCTTGGATGAACCACGATGAAGACTTTTCTTTCAACAGTACCAATAAAGGAGAATATTTGTAGCTCAGGATTGAAATGAGGGGTCCTGGGTGCTCTCTGAGCTTGCTGCTTTTCTTGCACATGTTTCATGATCTAAACTAGGTAACATGGACTCAAAACAGATTACTACAACCACATGGAATCAGCGTAGCACACAAGCCAACTAAAGCCCTTCAAAACATCCTTAGCAAACCAAAAGACCCAGCAACCCAGAAGAAAAAAACAAGAGTCCACTACAACAGAGGCCTCCAACCTTTTGAGCACAAGGGACTGGTTCCGTAGACAGAAATTTTTCCCACGGACTGGAGGGGGCATGGTTTCACATGCTGCCTGCAGCCTGCAGATGGGGCTTCTCTTGCTTGTGCGGCCTGGTTTCTGTCATGCTGCAGACCAGTGCCAGTCCATGGACCAGGGGTTGGGGACCCCTGATCTACAACACACAATGTAAGGACTGCAACAACTACTATGTTGGACAAACAGGCATAAGACTGGCTGAACGCATCCACGAACACCAACTGGCAGTCAAAAAGCATGACGAAAATTCTTTAATTTCACAACATAGAGACAGATTTAACCATAGTTTCAATTTGGGAAAATATGACAATCCTAGACCAGACCAAATCCCAAAATGCCAGAGAATTTCTAGAAGCCTGGCACTTTGAGAAATCAGCCATCAACCGACACATAGACATGAACAACATATATAGACTGTGCAAAAGAGACAATCAACCAGCCCAAAAGAGAAAAAGATTCTAGTACCTCTCCACCAGTAATCAGCACTCAGATCAATTAACTCCAAGGTTAATTTTAGACCGACAATCTACTAAGCAATACCCCAATCAAGAAAATGCCACAGAGCCATTAGCAAACAGTTCAACCAAAGAATCTCTAAGACTGCCCCCCCATCCACCCAGTCAGGCAAGACACCACAATATAAACTGTCAGAAAACTGCACCCCTTCCTAGCACTGAGGATGTTACTGTGGGAAGTCAGCCCCCCAGAGAAGGAAATATTAAAAGGGCAGAAAAATATATTTCCTCAAAGAATCTTTTAAAAAGGCAGAAAAACATGCCCAGTTTTCTTAATAGCCCCAAGTCTCCCTCCCCCAAGTAGAAACCAGCTCTGTAGAACTGCAGATGTAAATAATCCAGGAAGGTTGGAGCCCTCCAGCTAGAAGCTTAGGAAGACAAAGACACCTAAAATCTACATACCCCACCCAAACTCTAAGACAGGACATAATAGGATTAACCCACAGATGCCAGACTCAGGTCAAAATACATGACACAGGAAATACAAAGCCTCAAACAGAAACAGGAAACAATTTTAAGAGCCCCAGAGGGTATAAAAACCCACTCCCTACATGTGCTCTCTCTCTTTTCTTCCAGAGCCATCTTTCTGTCTGGCTCTCCTCTTCAATAAACTGCAACCTTCTTTCTAAAGCAGTCACCATGTTATTTATTCCCGGCTTGGACTGAACCATGATGAAGACTTTTCCTTCAACAGTACCTAGTTAGGGTAATGAAACGTCTGCAAGAAAACAAGCAAGCTCAGAGTACACCCAGGACCCCTCATTTGGTATAATGGTCAAAAATACCAGCCCAGAAACATGGGAGACTGTGAATTCTGTCTGGCATGAAGCCAATTGAGAAAGTGTGGGTCAGACCCTATCTCTCAGCTCTAGGAAGAAGACAGGGACAAACATCTTCTGAAAATGTTACCAGGAAAACTGTAGGGGAATTGTCCAAGCAGCCTCCAAGAGCCAAGATGGACTTACAGCAAAAAAGAAAAAAGCACAATCAGGATATTTGCTTGCCAAGATACATTCACCCTAACAAGAATATAACTAAGGATGACTTAAGCTGGACTCACTCAAGGATCAGGTGTAAACAAAGGCAACACTGGGGGCAGAGTGCAAAAGGGAGATTGCCTCGGTGTTTTCATGTTGTGGTTGGGTGCACACTGGAGGCTCCGTGGTTCAGTGCACATTGGAGTAATGCCACACCTGGAATACTACATCCAGTTTTGGTCAACACATTACAAAAAGATTCTGAGACTTTGGAAAAAGATCAGAGAAGAGCAACTAAGATGATTAAAGGCCTGGAGACTAAAACATAAGAAGAACGGCTGCAGGACTTGGGTTTGGCTAGTCTAGAGAAAAGAAGGACTGGGGGGGGCATGGTAGCAGTATTCCAGTATTTGAGAGGCTGCCACAAAGAAGAGAGGGTCAACTTATTTTCCAATGCACCAGAGGGCAGGACAAGAAACAATGAATGAAAACTAATCAAGGAGAGGAACAACCTGGAATTAAGGAGAAACTTCATAACAGTGAGGACAATTAACCCATGGAACAGCTTGCCTTCAGAAGTTGTGGGTGCTCCATTACTGAATGTTTTTAGGAAGAGACTGGACAGTCACTTGTCTGAGATGGTTTAGGGTCTCCTGCTTGAGCATGGGGTTGGACTAGAAGACCTCCAAGGTCCCTTCCAACTCTATTCTCATTGATTGATTGATGGCTGTTTAACAAAGCGAAGCAAACATGCCTTCTGAATGCAGCCTGAAGACTCACCATGTAATAGAAGACAATCTTGTCCTCCGTCTCATCACCTCGGTTAAGGATGTAACGCACCCGAACTGGCTCACGGTGGCCGCAGCTTAGAGTCTCTGACGCAGGCTCGATATGTAGGTAACTTTGGCTTGGAGAAGAAACCGCATTCGCTGTGTGAAATGCCTCATTGTGCTGGGGTGTAACCCAGTAGATGCTACCACACTGAGAACTGACTTGATACATAGCCTGTGAGGAAAAGCACAGATTTAGAGAAATTAGGTGAGAGGCTGGCTGAGAACATTTCATTGGCAGGGCCGAGAGAAATGGGCAATTCAAAAATGTGACAGATGGATGGATGGATGGATAGATAGATAGATAGATAGATAGATAGATAGATAGATAGATAGATAGATAGATAGATAGATAGATAGATAGATAGATAGATAGATAGATAGATAGATAGATAGATAGATAGATAGATAGACTGTAGATATACAATAGCTATTCAATAGATATAGATAGATGATAGATGATAGATAGATAGATAGATAGATAGATAGATAGATAGATAGATAGATAGATAGATAGATAGATAGATAGATAGATAGATAAATAGATAGATAGATAGATAAAAGGGGGATAGAGAAATGATAGACATATATGATATGTCTATCATATATGTCTATCATATATGAGAGATACAGAGAGATAGCAAGAGAGAGGCAATCAAAAGTCAAGAGGGGGGCTGTGACTCTGTGCTGGAAGCCACGCTCCATTTGTTTTACCTTGTCACACACAAAAAAAACCCAAAAGCAGTGGGTTCATTGACTTGGTTGCAGCCAGCAGGCCGACTTTCTCAATTTCATTGCATGTAAAAACAGATGTGCCTTTGCGTAGTAGTGGTTTCCCTCTTGACTTTGTTCACCCCTCTGCAGACATCCCATTTGATGGTCCATCAAACTGTAATTCTCCTCCCTACAGACAATGGGCCAGGTTGGTCAGAGAGGAACACTGCCCCTATCCCAGTGGAATGGAATTGTCAAGGATGAAACTTTGGCAGCTACGTACCTCTGGGTTTCAACTTGCCTTTAGATTAAGGGGCGGAGGTGTTACTTTCAAATGGGTAAGAAGGAGAAATGAAACTTCTTCAATTTATCTGAAGACCATGGGAGTCTGAAGCCTTGTCAAGGACACCAGAACAGGTGTGCATTTGAAGCAGATGGTTCCCCTAACAAAGCAAACTTGTTGATATGGATTATATAAGACGTTGGGGGTTTGGCTGGGAAAATTATTGTTTCAGCCTACGAATTGGTGCTGGAACCTCAGAGTTAGTTTTGCTTAGAGAAAACCATGCAGTGTATGCAATAAACAGTAAGATTTTCAGAAATGGGATGAACCTGGAGTTTTATTTGGATTCTCAAGCTGGATGTTGACAGGAATATTCCTGACACCTGGCAAGTGAGATGAAAACAGGCTGTGAAGAATCAAAATGCTCTGCGGGAAAGGGGGGGTGGGGTTGGCTTAGAAAGCACCCAGCCCAGGCATAATGGAAAACCATCATCCATGGACCATACAGGTGATCCTTGGCTTATGACCACAATTGAGCCCAAAATTTCCATTGCTAAGTGAGATAGTTTCTCACCACAGTTGTTAAGTGAATCACAGCAGTTTTTCAGTTAGTAACACGGTTGTTAAATGAATCTGGCTTCCCCAATGACTTTGCTCGTCAGGGGTTCACAAGCGGTGATTACATGACCCCGGGATACTGCAACCATCATAAATCTGAGCCAGTTGCCAAGCAGCTGAATTTGGATCACGTGACCATGGGGATGCTTCAACGGTCGCAAGGATGAAAAACGATCATAAGCCCCATTTTTCAGTGCCGTTGTAACTTTGAACAGTCACTAAACGAAGGGTGGCAAGTCAAGGACTATCTGTATAAGGGCCATAATTCTTGTCTCTTCTTCTCCTTTGCACAGATTCTACAGCCAGGTTCCCCTGCACATCCATCTCCTTTGACCCATCGTCACTCTTCCTGCCCTCATTTTCCCAGCTCCCTATCCTTTTGCTTGCAAAGTTCCCCCCGCAACAGGCTCTGCCTTTAGCATACACCACCTACTTAAGCAGTGAAGGACTCAAAATCTAGTTTTTGCGGAAGGGAAGATCCCTTGCAGCTCTTTTATCTACGATCTACTGTAGAACTGAGCAGAGTCAGTTCTGTTCCATGCCTGGACAGGAGACCACAAAGAAATCTTCAAGTCTGTGGGTTAGGCTGGGAAGTTGAAAACACATCTGGGAATAAAGCCACAGGGGACCTTGTCTGCTATGGAAATGACAGGGCCTGTGCAGGTGAATAAGATGGAAAATCACATTAAAAGGAGAAAAAAAACAATGAGAAAAGAGAGATAGAGAAAAAAGGGGGGGAGGGAGCCCTAAGTCCTTGACACCACTGAGAAGCTATTTTTTTTTCATTTTTTAGAGAATTTGTATGTCATAAAATACTGCTGTCGCAAACCGAGGAGACTCACCTTAAGAGTCAAAAGGTCACGTCTGAAATCGGTGGTGTCGATGGAAAATTGGGCTCGCCCCTCAGCATCCGTCACTTGAGTCATCTCCTGGTGTCTTGACAATATCAAAAGCTGCACTGTTTCATTGCCCATAGGCAACTCGGTACTGTCTACCAGCTTCACCTGCACATGAAAAACCGCAACATTTATCCAGTTGGCTGCTGCCGGAGATTTCAGTATTTACAAATGCAATTTCTCTCTCTGCCTTCTCTTCAGGAACGCAAAGCTTCCCTGTCAATCCATGCTAATTTTTCCCATAACTAAAACTCTGTGGAAAAAGGGGAGAACAGAGGGAGGGACTAGAGCCCAGGAATAGATTTTTTTTGTGCTGCAGCTGAGAAAGAAAGGGAAATATTTCTAAACCCAAGCAAGAAGCCACTGAAGGATAGCATTACAGGTTGGTTTGATAAACGGATTTTTTTGTTAGTGAAAAAGAGCTTTGAGAGCTTCAAAGCAGAGCATCCGCAGGGGATCACAGCAATAGCCATTGCACTTAGACATATATACGGCTTTACAGCACTCTCTGGACAGTTTTACAATGTCAGGTTGTTGCCCCCAATAATTTGGGTCCTCATAAAAGTCAATCTAGTGGCTGCCACTATGCAAAACCCTGCCCCTTTTTAAGGGCACTGAGACATGATTCGGGTTGCCATCTTGACATTTTTGGGCCTACCACCATCGCTTCCGTGGATACCCCTACTTAATAATCATGCTAATGAACAAAGGTTGGAAAGTTCCTATTGTAAACTTCTATCTTCCTTCCCTCCCATCTAGATACCTTTTCCTCCCTCCCTCCTTTCTTCCTCCTGTAGGGAGTCAGCACCCCCCCTCCCCCACCAGAGAATGAAATAGGTTGGGGAATATTAAAAGAGACAGGATAGAATATTTTGCCTAAAGGAGAAATGGAGAAAAATCCCAACAAAGACAGAAACCAGCCCCAGTCTTTCTGCCTCAAACAGAAACTGAAGGGGCTGCCCTTTAGAAATGCAGATTTGGTGATCCTTTCAGAAAGACTGGGGCCAATCTATTCATAAGCAAAATGCCTTCAGCCCCCACAGCTGGTGGGATTAAGAATTTACATTCCCCCACCCAGCTCCAAGGACAGGACATGACCTCCCAGCCACAATAGGAGTCAGGCAACAATAATGAGAATAGCAAAAGGGCACACTCAAGCTCAGGTCAAAGTACATTTCACAAGAACAGGCCTCTCAAATGCAAAGCCCAAAGAAGGTATAAAAAAACCACAATTTCTCAACTCCATTTTGTCAGCTGTCCCAGAACTGCATGCTGTTGCTGGTTCTGCTCCTCAATAAACAAGAACCTTCTTTCCTAAGCAGCCTCCATTTTATTTCCAGCAACTTACTCCTGGCTTGGAACTGGACCTGATTTTTTGTCTAACACTCCCTCCCTCCCTCCTTTGTCTGAAATGGTATAAGATCTCCTGCTTGAGCAGGGGAATGAACTAGAACAGAAGCCCCCAACCTTTGGGGCATCAGGGACCGGTTCCAAGGAGAGAGGTTTTCCATGGACCAGAGGGAGTGTGGTTTCACATGCTGCCTGCATCCTGTGGAAGGGGCTTTGCTTGTTTGCACAGCCCAGTTTCTGGCATGCCGGGGCTTAGTGCCAGTCCACGGAACTGGAAGACCTCCAAGGTCCCTTCAAAGTCTGTTATTCTGTATTCCTAAATGCTTTTACCCTGCATTTGATCATTCGAGCTCAGAACAGCTGGCCAGCAGCTGTTGGGGTGAAAAAATGGCATTGCAGCAGACTGAAGGGGCTGGCTGGGCTGATATGTCCTAAATCCAGCTTTACAGAGAAATCATAGCTCCCATCTTACCTTCACAACATAGGGAATGCCGGGTTTATAGTAACGGTCTGGGTTTTCAAAGATAACTTTGCTCACTGTGGATGTGATCTCAATGGATTCTGTGCCATTCGATTCCACCCCTGTTGAAGAGAAATGTCGTCTGAAGAGATTTCTCTGTTCCCTTCCTCTCCAAATTCCCAAAAACTTCTTGTCACTGGAGTGCCAAGAAGCCTGACTTTGATGGATATTTGCTCTGTGTTTATGGATTTCTGCTTCGGACAAGGGGTTGGAATAGATGATCTCCAGGATCCCCCCTCCCCATGTGCAGATTTCTCTAACATAAGTCTCTCTGTTGGTTTTCCCAAAGGTGCTTTTTCAGGAGGCAGCAGGACTCTCTTGTTTTTCTTTGAAGACATTTTGCTTCTCATCCAAGAAGCTTCTTCAGCTCTGACTGGATGGTGGGGAGTGGAAGGATTTATATTGCTTGAAGACAGCTGGTCATTTGCATTCTTTTAGAGAGTCATTGAGGCCACTTGGAGATGTATCTATGTCGTCAGGGTCACATAAGTAGTGGGTGTGAAAATGGGTGTGGAGACTTCTTGAGTAGTGCACCCATTTGCACCACTCAGGTGACCCTGAGGACACAGGTAAACCCTCCAAATGGCTTCAACGACTCTCTAAAAGAATGCAAATGACCAGCTGTCTGCAAGGAGTATAAATCCTTCCATTCCCCACCATCCAGTCAGAGCTGAAGAAGCTTCTTGGATGAGAGAAGCGAAACATCCTCAAAGAAAAACAAGAAAGACCAGTTGTCTCCTGAATAAGCATCTTTGGGACAGCCATGACCTGGATGACTGAGAACCTCCATAGACATCTCTCTGTTGGTTTTTAATTTGGCACTTGCTAGCCCTTTAAAGGTTTCCCTGTCCAATCGTCACCAGCTCAAGGGGGCGTCATCTCCCAGGGAGTCTGTGTTGTCTGAGAGGTGCTTCCATCCTCATATGTCCAGCACCAAAGTATGGAACACAGTAACCTTTCCTGCTGAAGTGATACCCATTTTTCTACCTACATTTGCATGCTTTCTAATTGCTAGGTTGGCAAGAGCTGGAGCAAGGACAGGAGCTCACCCTGTCCTGCGGTGCTCGGGTCTCAAACCTGGGCTGTCAGTCTCATGGTTCCAACAGATGATACTGTTCAAAGAACTTCGAGGCATTGTTTACCTTAAAGAATCTTTATTCAAGTAGCATGGCATTGGCACGTACATGGTTGAAGCCAAAATCTGTATTCCCCTCCCCTAAACACATAGTATCAAAGCACAATTCCCTCCCCCAATTAACAGTCAGAAATCACATTCTCCAATTAGTTTGAAATGCAAACCTTCCCTCCAGTTCTCTAAACCGCCATTTCTTATCATCTCCTATTTCAAACAACCTTGAGGAATACTCTACTGCGATGTTGTTATGTCTAACTAATCCCCATACACATTCTTCCCCCTCCCTCCCCCCCAGCATCATCTAATTCTAACTCTAAAAGTAACACACAGGTTAAAGGGCTGTCAGACTCATGGTTCCAACAGCAAGGGAGCTAAAGAGGAAAAAATTGAAAGCTTTCTTAGAAGGATGTTTTAGCAAATTTTTAGGGGGTTCGGGGATAGGCAGGGGGGGCATGGGGGATGCCTCTCCGAGGCCAAGGCCAGACCTGTCTGAGGGGCGCGGCATTAGAACGGTGAGGGAGGAAGTTGGGGGGTTAGGGGAGGGTGGTTTGATCAGGACGGTCAGTGGGAGGGGCAGATATGGCGGGAGCAGAGGACCATATCGGGTTTTGGGAGCACGCACACGCTGTTTACAAGCTTGT